AAAAAAAAAAAAGAAAAAAAAAGCAAAATCCCCACATACTGGAGAGATTGAAAGAAAAAATAAACATGATTCCAGAGATCCTGCTTTTTAATCATGACATGAACTCTGGCAGTCCTTAAGGAAACCATTTGATGACACAAATGTCGGTGGACATCTCTCTCTCTGCTCAGGACACCGTAAATGGGGTGGGTGTGGACATAACCGGGATGCACGGAGGAGCTCCTTTCTGGAGAACGAACAGTTTTGTATTATGATTGGGGTGTTGGTTACAGGAATCTATGCGGGCGACAGAAAGGAAAAGACACACACACATACATGCTCTCACCAGCCAGCACATGTAAAAGCCGATAAAATCCAAATCAGGAATAGAGTCTAGTTAATTGCATTGCACTCGTGTCAGTTTCCTGATTTTGACAATGGCCCAGGGTTAGGTAAGATGTGAGCTGGATGGAGGGTACCTGGGATTCTCTGTACTATTTTCACAACTTTCTGTGTGTCCAGAGTTAAAGTTTTTGTGTGTTTTTGTTTTCTGTTCGTGTTGAAACACCACAAACCTGTTAGGCAAATGACAAACCGGGAAAGAGCTTCAACCAGCAGGACACAGGCTTTCGTGTCCATCACGTGTGGGTTCCTGCCAGTTAGGGAAGACAGGAGCTTTTCCAGCAGGAAAGCCAGCCAGCCCGTGCACAGGCAACCTCAGACAGTACCGGGCACCCTCCTGCTGACGGATCCCCCGCCAGTGGTGGAGAAGAGTGGCCCATGTATCAGCCTGGAAGAAACAGATGCCTCTCCCTGCCACCTCCGCGACCGAGACTTTCGGCCAGCGGACACTTGTCCTCTTGTAGCTGGCCTTCACCCATCCTTCCTTCCTGTTGGCACCCCACTGACACTTCCGGGCTTCACTGTCAGGGTAGGAATGTGACTGACTGTGGAGTTTGGCCAATGGATGCCGTCTCACGACAATCTTGAGTACTGACTGTGGGAGGCAGGGGTAGAAGTTTCCGACGAAGAGTTCCTGCTTTGAGACAAATGCAGGTTTCCGGCTGTCAAGGCTCCTGGAGCACGCCCAGTGTCCTTTCCCACCGGTTCTGTCATTCTGTGACTTGTGACCAGTCCCTTCCTTCACTTTAAGTGAAAGACTACTTATTCCCAGGACTGATTTTTTAAAAACAGGCACTGGCTGAGCTTCCTATCTGCAAAACACACGGAGATCAACAACACAGTTCAGTTTGCAACGTGGATGACAAGGGACTGATTTCCTTCATGTATAGAGTGTCCACACATCGTTGAGGCCAATAGATCAAAAGAAAGGTGGGCAGATGGTCACTAGTAAACAGGTATCTTAAAACATGAAGATACTGCCGCAGATAAAATTACCGTGAGATGCCACACCTCACGGGCAAAGATAAAAAAATAATTGATAACAGGTGGTTCTGGTGAAGAAATGGAGACACGGGCGTACTTCACCCTTATTGGAAAAGGTTACATTGAGGTGTTCTCTTTGGAAGGCAATTCGGCAATACTCGAAACTAAAATCGAATATGCCTTTGGATAGTTCTAGGAAGTTACCCCTGTAAACTCAAACACAAGCCCAAAATATGTACAAGACTGTTAACAGCTATCACTTATACTGGGGGCTGGCCAACCACAGCCTGGGGGTTAAATCTGGTCAGCTGCCTGGTTTCGTAAAGAAGGTTTTATTGGCACGCAGCCAAACCCACACATTTACATATTGTCTGTGGCTGCTTTGGGGCCAGGAGAGCAGAGTGGTTGTACCGGTCTGGCCTGCAAAGCCGAAAATATTTACTCTCTGGCCTTTTACGGAGGAAGTCTGTTGACCCCTGATTTGTGCGGATTCAAAAGGCCCCGAATAACCTGTTATCCCTTGATAGGTGCCTGGCAAAATAAATTACGGCACATTCATAAGCAGGAATAGAATACAGGTATTAGAAAATAGAGACTGGGATGTGATTCCCTGTCTGGAGCGAAGGCATCTTTCCTCTATATATGCTTTTGCACTCAAGTTTTATTATACTTTTTAAGCCATTAAAAATAAAAGCGGAGCTTCCCGAAGAATGGAGAGGGTCAAGGCGCAAGGAGAGGTCATCCTGCTGTTAGGAACTCATGTACCAGAGTGCCACCTGCCCAGGCAGTCTCCGGTCTCCCTGGGTCAGGGTTGCTGGGTCAGACGTGAGAGGGGAACGGCCTGCCCTCCTTGGTCGGCATTTCCCGATGCCCCAACCACGGAGTCAAGCCTCTGGACAAACACAGGCACCAAAGGAAGTGAAGGCAGCCAGGGCAGAGTGACCGCCAGAAGGACTTGCACCTTGGCTTACGCTGTGGCTCTGAGGAAGCCTGTGGGCTGGACCAGGCCGGCCGTGACATCCTGGGCTGGGTCCCTAGGCGACTTGCAGTGGCTGCATCAGGACCCCGCGGCTGTCCTCGACGGGACCAGTCTGATGGGGGCGGGGCACCCTCCAGCCCGGGCAGCTCGAGGCCCCGTCGCCTCCCGGGACCCGCCCAGGCAGAGGCACAGCCATCAGCGGCCCCGGGGCTGGGAAGGAACCTTAGGCAGGTGGCAGCGCTTCCGTCCGGAATTGTTTAATGAGTCTACTTCTTACACGCATAATTATAAAAGAATAAGAATCGACAAAAATATTTTCTTTCCATAATATGTAGAGGTGGTTCGTTTCCGGTGGGGGTTTTCGGTTGTGTGTGTGGTTTTTGTTTTGTT